ATTGGAGATGTATGTTTTAGTAGGAAACCATTTCAATGATTTTTTTAAATAATCACTGCAATCTGCAAAAAAAGGTTTTGAATAACCTGTGTATACTTAACTTCAAAGGTTTGTTACAACGCACTTTGAAAAAATATGCACTTTGAAAAAAATTTTCAAAGTGCGTTAAAATTTGGGACCAAGCTAACGCACTTTGAAAAAAATAATTTTTTTCAAAGTGCGTTAATATCGACCATATTAACGCACTTTGAAAAAAATGTAAAGATTGATCAATATTCCTTCAAATAATCGGTATGATAAATAACAGATCCTGGTTTGATAACTTTTTTATGATAAAGTCACTGTAGGACCTGAGATATTGATGTTTTAAATATTGAAGGTTTGATAAAATAAAAGGGAAAATTAAAGGGTCTTTAAAAAAAGAGTGACGATTGTTTAAGTTCATTAATTCGTTTTCTTCTTTTTTTTTAATTCTAGTCTTTGATAAGTAGATGTAAAGGTGTATAGGGGGCACTCACAGAGGACAGCTTCAAGCAACTTAGCATTTATCATGATAAAAAGGGGCCAATTTGATTTTTCAAAACTATGAAAATTCTTTCTCTCTCATACGTTTTACTGTACTTAAAAATTTCTAGTTTTCATCTGTTTTGATTAACTCATTTATTATTGAAAGTTTTCAACGTCATACCAGTTAGGTAAATACATAATTATATGAATGCTTTGAGTATAGCATAGACATCGAGACTGGGCGAAGGGCCAGGAGAGGGGATGGGAGGCTAAGCCCCCCACTTATTTTGGAAAGATATATATATATACATCGTATAAGCATTGAAAATGCAGCGTACCCTTTTTAGGTTTATTGCTCCCCTCCCCCGTTTGTTACCGACACCTATGTATTGGAAAGATAAAGATTTGGACTGAGGGATCTTATACCCGTCTTCTCCTCTTTTCGACGGGAGTAAATCAATTTATTTTTGAGGTTAGGGTTAGGCTTAGTTTTTTGAAAGATAAATAACAAATAAAATCTTTCCATGACTAAAATATGATTTTTTTTCAAAGTGCATTAAGTGTCTCCATGGTAAAATATATTGATGTATACTCTTAACGCACTTCGAAAAAAATTTTCAAAGTGCGTTGAGTGTGTCCCAAATTTAACGCACTTTGAAAAAATTTTTCAAAGTGCGTTGATTTTGTCCCAAGTTTAACGCACTTTGAAAAAATTTTTCAAAGTGCGTAATTTTTTCAAAGTGCGTTGCCACAAAGGTTATATTAAAAATAAAGGGTTTATTTTTCCAGGGCCTTTTGAAACTAAAGAGCATGCTCTACATACAATCAATTTCTCAAATGAGACAAAGTTTTGAATGAGTACTACAAGTACAAGTAAGTATATCAAAGTGAAAAGGGGGAGAAAAAAAGCGCTGCTTTTGCAATCCGAAGCATAAGCATTTCCTCTCGACGCCTGAGGTGTGTTTTAGGATTAGAACAGAAGGCAAAAAGCAAATACTTTTATCATTTTTTAAAAGAAATTTCAATAATTTCAAACTTACAGTTTGTCAAGATAAAAAACAAGGTACAGTAAGGGCAAAATTCGGCCTACCATCAAATTTAAAAATATTTTGGAATATAAATATAGAGGATTTATATTTTCAGATGACAGTGGTTACAAATTTGTGTATAACTTAGTATTGAAGAAACAACGCTGTCAATTTTGCATCCTTTTTACCATATTTTTCCTTTTTAACGTCGTAAGAACATATGTGACGTCACTGAAATTATTCATCAAAAAACAATGTATATAATATATAAATAAGACAATTTTTATTCTCTGAAACTAGTAAATCTACAATGTGCAGTCTTTCTCTCTCTCTCAAAAAAAATTCTCTCATTAAATACTAGGGATGGCAACCGAATACGGAACTGCTAATCGGTTAACCTAAAGAGCGATTAACCGCTTAACCATATCAAAATATATTTTCAATATATTTTTTCATAAGTTAATTCATGTACACAAGAAGTACTTAAGTCTAAAATTTTTAAAACTGTTCTATTTGTCTTGATTCTTGATGAGAAAATAATATGCATACTATTATATATATATATATATATATATATATATATATATATATATATATATATATATATATATATATATTCAGTTTCAGTAGACTGGAAGAAAATCAAGAAAACCATGAATCATGTCTGAGAAAAAAGGCATAGATCTTTTCTCCAAAGCAGATTTCACCTAAGTTCATTCAGCGTTGTCACCATAATTAAGATTTATTCTGAATTACATTTTTAAATTTACAGTGTTTAATTCACAGTGCTAAACGGTGATTTAATTATCATAAATGAATTTTGAACATATTTCATTGACAAATGCCAAAGGGATTGGACACAAAGAATTACAGGTCAGTCGGGGTAACAACTTGGTGTTTTAACAATAATTTACACTTCACACACAAAATGACCAAGAACCATGCCCCACATACCGTAGAATCATACTAGTAGACACATTTAAATCAATGAACGTGTGAAATCCTAAATTATCAATGTTTATAAATAACCTTCAAAAAAATTGCGTTCAAATTTAATTTTTTTAAACTTTTTCGCCTAACTTATTACAGATTTTCTAACGATTACCATACCTCCGACCGAGTAAACAATTAACTTGTTAGGTCACCTGAGTAACTCAGGTGACCTATTGCTATCCGTTTTCGTCCGTCGTCGTGTGTCGTGTGTCGTGTGTCGTGCGTCGTGCGTCGTGTGTTAACATTTGAACATTTTCAGCTTCTTCTCTGAAACCACTTAACCAATTTCAACCAAATTTGGTATACAGCATCTATGGGTGAAGGGGAACAAAAATTGTGAATTTCATGGTCCCTGCCCCCCTGGGGCCTGGGGGGTGGGGCAAAAACCACTTAAATTATTGCAATCTTTAAAAATCTTCTTCTTTACTCCTGGACATCAAGCAGGCAAACTGTTATTATGAATGTAATGAGCATTGAGTCCTCAACTTAAATTGTGAAATTCATGGCCCCAGGGTCAGGGGTTCTAGTGCTAGGACAGGGCTATATAGATTATATAGTGAAAATGCATGATTTCTTAGAAAATCTTCTTCTCTGCTCCTAGGTATTAAATAAACTAACCAAGCACATAGTTATGATGAGCAAGAGTGCCTCTTCCAAAATTGTGAATTTTATGACCCCAGGGTCAGGGGTTCTGGTGTTAGGGCGGGGCTCTATTGGTTATATAGTGAAAATGCATATATTCTTTGAAAATCTTCTTCTCTACTTCTGGGTATTAGATAAACTAACTGAGTACCTAGTTATGATGAGCAAGAGTGCCTCTTCAAAAATTGTGAATTTTGTGGCCCCATGGTCAGGGGTTCTGGTGTTAGGGTGGGGCCCTATTGATTGTATAGTGAAAATACATTTATTCTTCGGAAATCTTCTTCTCTGCTCCTGGGTATTAAATAAACTAACCAAGCACATAGTTATGATGAGCAAGAGTGCCTCTTCCAAAATTGTGAATTTTATGACCCCAGGGTCAGGGGTTCTGGTGTTAGGGCGGGGCTCTATTGGTTATATAGTGAAAATGCATATATTCTTTGAAAATCTTCTTCTCTACTTCTGGGTATTAGATAAACTAACTAAGTACCTAGTTATGATGAGCAAGAGTGCCTCTTCAAAAATTGTGAATTTTGTGGCCCAATGGTCAGGGGTTCTGGTGTTAGGGTGTGGCCCTATTGATTATATAGTGAAAATACATTTATTCTTCGGAAATCTTCTTCTCTGCTCCTGGGTATTAAATAAACTAACCAAGCACATAGTTATGATGAGCAAGAGTGCCTCTTCCAAAATTATGAATTTTGTGGCCCCAGGGTCAGGGGTTCTGGTGTTAGGGTGGGGCCCTATTGATTATATAGTGAAAATGCATTAATTCTTTGGAAATCTTCTTTTCTGCTCCTGGGTATTAAATAAACTAACCAAGCACATAGTTATGATGAGCAAGAGTGCCTCTTTCAAAATTGTGAATTTTTTGACCCCAGGGTCAGGGGTTTTTTGTGTTGGGAGGGGAGGGGGGGGGCTCTATTGATCATATAGTGAAAATGCATAAATTCTTTGAAAGTCTTCTTCTCTGCTTCTGGGTATTAAATAAACTATGTAATTAAATAGCTATGTTGATCAAGAGTGCCTCTTTCAAAATTGGGAATTTTGTGACCCCAGGGTCAGGGGTTTTGATGTTAGGACGGGGTTCTATTGGTTTTATAGTGAAAATGCATTTATTCTTTGAAATTCTTTGCTTTGCTCCTGTGTTATGCCTATGATCCAAATATATATATTCATGATGAAGAAAGGTGCACCTAGCAAAATGGTTATTTTTTATGCCCCCGCCCCTTCCCTGGGTCGGGGTGAGGGGGGGGGGGGTTACAAAGTCTGAAAATAAATAAATGCTTTGAAATTTGCTCTTTGGTGTTAATCAACCATTTTATGATAAAATTTGCAAAATTTTGAAATATGTGGCCCCAGGATCAGTGGTTCCTTTGGGATGAGGTGTACAACTGGTTATAAAGTGGAAGTGCATTTTCTCTTAATGTTACTCTGATCTACCTCTGGGTATTAAGTAAATAGAGTTAGCATGCTAAGTCTAAATTATTATAAGCAATGGTACCTCTTTCAAATTTTGAATTGCAAATTCCGTGGCCTCTGGTTTAAAACATGAACCAAATTTAATTGTTTGAAAGTTGTTGCGCCATAAACAGGTGACCTATAAGGCCCGTGGGCCTCTTGTTACAAATCGATATCCCTATTGAATACCTTGACAAATTCATTACTTTTATTTCTCTTGCTCGTTCTCATTACGTCCTCTCAAAAACTAGTACTAAAGAAGCAACCTCCCTCCCCCCTCTCTCTCTATGAATTTCAAAATACATTTTCAAATCTTAAAATCATTTGAACCAAATGTAACATATTAATGTTAATAACGTTAATAAGTTCAATAACTTTTAATAAGTTAAAATGTTAACATGTTAATATCACTCCTCTTCATTTCCGACAAGGCTGTCTTCGTCGCTGTCAGAATCATCAACGGGCAGCGCTGCAGCATCATCAACGTAACTGCAACAATTGCGAACTCCAATCTTTGGGTTTTCCCTGTGCCTTGCAAAGGATAAAAACCATATAACACTAGTGATGTGGGAGCACATTCCCACCACTCTTGACCCTATTTTGCATTTGCAAAACCATGATTTTATATTTATCTCATCAAACCCAATCCACAATAAATACTTCTTTGCCGATATATGCCTGCTTTGAAGTTTTGCACGTAGAATTCCATCATGGTCATTGTTGACGTAAATTTCATAGTTGCCATCTTTATCCAGATGTTCCTGAGCATAGGATTTAGCTAGCTTTATCTGATATACCCCCATTGTTAATTCGCGTATTTCTTCTTCAGACAGTTGCGGAAATGCAATGCTTGTGTCGCTGGCGTCAATCTTCCGCCACCTTACTTCCCTTTTGTCTAAACCTACATTTAAAAAAGCATGTTACTCATAATTAGTTGTAATAAATTTAGAAATTCATAATTCATCAAGATATTATAAAACAAGCATTCTGAGAGCACTGCATAAGCAATAGTCCCCTATCGGCATGTAAAATCTGGTCCCCGTTAAAAAATGAAAATGCCATAACTCTGTAAAAAATCATTGAAGCGGAATGAAATGCAAATCTGATTTATAACTCATCAAGATGCACACCTACTAAAAATTCAGATTATATTTGCAAGCGTTTAGAAAAAAAAATCACGATAGGAAACCCCTATCAATGAAGTGGAACGAAGTACAATCTTGACCTGTAATCACCTCCGGTTTCACCGGCAGGGGAGTAATAATAGACTAGAAATTACTTAAGGAATCACTGTCTAGTTTTGAGAGTATGCCAGGGCATCAACAATAGTGGGAAACATGGGATAATTTGCATAACTGGCGAAGCCCGTTATGCTAAAATTATCCCATGTTTCCCACTATTGTTGATGTCCCTGGCATACTCTCAAAACTAGACAGTGATTCCTTATATTTCCATTTCATTGTGAAATAAAATTGTAGACTTAGACATTAAGAATGTAGACTAATCGATTTAAATTACACGAGGACTTCCATGCCAATTTCAATAGTCCTCGCACACTGACGTCAAACACAAAGACAGCTGCACGAGATTTACATGCATATTTTGCCTCCTTATCGTCAGACACAGAGACAGATGTACACGAGATTTTCTTGCATATTAGGCTCATAAAGCTCCTGACCGATCGATCTGCCTAATTTACATTCCTGCAGAATTATCAGGAAATCAACTCCGCTTACTTTCAAAGGGTTGTTATAGGGAAAAGAATTAGAAATGGAAATATATTGATGTAATGCTCTTATATTGAGTTACAGTAGCAATTTACCATTTGTCTCTACATATTCCTTGAGTACATTGACTTCCGTGGAGAGAAAACGCATCTTCGCAGCTGTCGACAAGTCACTCTCTAATCCTGTACTAACATCAGGCCTGAATTTATTGCAGATGGCACTAATAATCCGAACATAGTCCCCGATGTGTGGTATCTGGCTATTGGGAATGGTTCTGTCCAAGTAATTCCAGGTTTTGATTCTACCATTAACACTTTCGACGACCCATCGTAGCTAAAAACAAATGTTGATCTTAATTGATTTACTTTAATTTACAGTTCTTTTTCATTTACTAGTATTTAATCAGAACACAATTGAAATACTTCTGAAAATTACATCTTATATACATTTTAAAAATAATTATGCTTTTGATCTTGAGTTTCTTCAATAATTATTTTACTTTTGTAACTAAACGTGTTGCATTAGACTCTTCTGTTGTGTGTTGCTTTGTTCCACGTGGTAGAAAGGAAGGCATTTCAACATGAATTCCAATGTCGTTGAGTAGAGTTTCTGCATCCCTAAACCCTCTATCGACAATGAATATGTCTTCCTCCTTTATCCAATCTTTAATTTCCTCTACGTTGGTTTCTATCATATGCGTCAAAATCTTAGCATCTGAATTCTTGGAGTCGGCTAGGTATGGCCCAAGCACCGAAACAACGTACCCCGATGTAGTAACCACTATCATAGGTTTAATCAACGGCCTGTGTTTATGAGTACTAAATGATCTTCTTGAGAATGTAAAATTGCCACTTTTTTGTAGGTATATATATGTCCCATCAAGTACTAGTATTACTAGATTTTCAGTTACAGTACAGAGCAGCTCTTTTGCAAGTGGACGGGTGTGGTTTTCTTTAACGTCCTCCCGGGTAATGTGGGAAAATCCCAAATGATGTGGAACAAAGTTCAACATCAGAGCATGTTTTGCTGTCAATACAGCACGCCTTATCTAGAAAAGAAAACACAGATCTATACTATTATTTTTTTTTAGAGATTACAGAGAACTACAATGTAGATTATTTGTAAATTAAAGAACTTACCTGCCATTTTTGCATGCCAAAGAGAGTTCCAAGCAAATGATTGCTCATTCCACAACGCAATTTGGTTAATAGAATAGCAATACAAGACCTCACACTTCTGGTCTTGGTTGCCCTTATGTCAACGTCTTTCAGGTATGAGAGCAGCTCATCAAACTGGTCTTTCGTCAACCCAGTAAGATTATAATAATCTTCGTTATCCATACTCTTGGCGTCATCAAAGTTGAGTCTAATACTTTCATTCCGTAGAGCGAATTCCCTAGTTTGTTGGAGCAGTTCTACAATGGATGTCCTGTTGATATTTGTGTCAGGGTTTGTTTGCTGCATTTGTTGTAGTGCATCGTCAGTAAACTCTTTATCTGCAATATGTTTTGGGCAACATCTAGAGCCGGCAGGAACAAACATTTTTTTTCGTAAGAAAGCTCTGACACGGGCATACTGAGTCACCACTATAAGCTTTGGACCTGGCTTTTTACATATAAGACAATTCGCATGGCTCTTTGATGTGCTGGGGATGCTAAGAGTCACAGAAGGTGGACTTGCAGTCACAGACATTTTCATTCTCTTATTTGGTTCACTTTCCTGAGGACTGGGGATACTTTCAGAAGTTGGTAATTGCGATTCACAAATATATCGGCACTTCCAACACAGAACATCTTCTTCTTTTACCTTTTGTAAATACTTTCTTTCTAATATTGAAGTATGTTTAGGTTTTATTTTGTACCTGTCGTTTGGTGTAGTCCTCTTATTACACAGAATACAGGGATATGATTTAGGTCCTGTTCCTGGCATCCTGTATTAATGTACAGACAAAATATTTACTCCACCTTGCAACAAATTTGTGAATCTCAAAAGAAAACCTTGAAAATAAATTTTAAAGTAAAGTAACAAAAATTTTTAGAGCCATCATCATCGCCAGATATATATGTAAAGTAGAAAAAAATTGTCTTTTATCGTTATTTTTTACACCAAATATATATATTTTTTTTACATTGTAATTAATCTTAAAAAATTAAAGAGCACTGTATTTATTTTCTATCAAAAGCTCTCACCAAGATCATTTCAATAAAAAATATTAATGGAAGACATACCCCGGTATACCTTTAATTTATACATTATACCCTTACCTGATTTAGTGTCAGTAGTTAATCCCATCCATTTATCATTTTAACTCTCTTCTTGTGATATTTCTTTTCTGTAAAATATTATTATAAAATATGCATATACATTTCTACATTTGGAAATAAATAAATAAACAGATTTTTTTTAAATTTCTAGTAAAAGAATTTTGAAATATACATGCATAAATGAAAAAAAAAATATTCCCCGAGTATGGGTCGAACTCGCGACCTTCCGCGCGTTTACCTACCTACTATAACCATTCAGCCATTCAAGCTTCATACATATAGGTCGAAAATATTTTTGGTCTACTTTGATGCGCAAGAAATTTATTATAGCTCTTAAATTTTCGATCAACAAAACATTTCACATCACTAATATGAACGAATGTAAGGGTTAATCAAAATCTGCTTTACTTATTTTGGGCATTATTGCTCCAATTATATGATTCGAATGTTCGCTGACGTCATTTTCATTACACTAACTTGTGCGACATTATCAGACGACATAACCATGATGTCGATGTCTTATTAACAACAACTTGTCAAATGTTAACTCCCATATTATGCAATTATGTATTAAATCATTACCTGGTCATTTTCTTCTGGTTTAAATGCAGCTTGCAGACTCTAGACTGTTCGTCATAATTTACATCTATGTTGTCACGGACGCTTTTTGTAGATAACGAAACAAACCAAACTGGTGTTGTTGAAAAAAATCCGTAATAAGCGTTATTTTTTCAAAGGCAATTTCACTCTTATTGATACATAATGTATGTTAATGATTTATGATTAAAAATTATATTTCATTGAATCGCAAAATGAAAAGGACGATACGACTTCTGAAGTAAGAATATTACTGTAACATGCTTTTTACTGGAATCCGGAATAACCAAAACTTTAATTTTAGTGTTGGCCGCAGCAAACGCGATCGATGGGATCATTATAAATTAATACATTTCAGTTATATCAAAAACATATATAAGTCTCATGAATCGCGTTCGTTGCGGCCATAGTGAAAATTGCAATCAAAATCATAAAAATTGCAATATTTAGTGAAATTATCGGTACACGGAAAGGTTTTGAAATTTACGTAGTATATGTGTGACGTTTTGGCGCCATTTTAATACCGTGGTTGGAGAGACCCGAGGGTGTAGAAAATAAATAAGCATCATATACCTGATAATATTACTGTTTGTTTTTTGCAAATTTACTAGGCCGATATAGGCAACAACCGTATTTAATTCTTAAGATTTTTCTTCAGTGTTTCAAATGAAATGCAAGAAGATAACAAACAGTATTCAAGAGTTCATTCAAACAATTCAAATCAGGAGCAGAGTAAACACGAACCTCTAAAAGGTTGGATCAAATGCCACGGTGGAGTGAGCATCCCCTACTGACCGGTCACACCCGCCTGTTCTCCATTAATGATAGGAGAAAACGAAAAAGTAGACAATTCAATATGTAAATAATCATGGACTAACGATTGTATGAAAAACGCATTAGCATTTGACTCAATGAGAGGTTGTATTTGCTGACAAGGTCATTGTATCGAACATAACTTGAGAAATCATACCTTCAATCTAGACCCTGGTATCCTTGTTTTATCAACTTGTTTGTTTATAACTCGTCTCTTTATAGAAATGGTTTTTGAACATGCTTTGAGCATGCTTTTGTGCCTCGAATCAACTGAGAGACATAAACCCCATATGCAGGTGATAACAGCACACTCTATTCTCTGACCTTATTTATGGGCGCCGCCATGTTTGGATCACATGACTTGACGCCATGAAGGTGCTGATAACGTCATAATTCGGTAATACTCAATGCAGTAACTTTTCTCCGTTATTCAATTTTTTGGCGTAATACTTATACAAACACGCGTTCATATGAAGTAAAGTTAACTGAGTCATTCTTAAATTTGGTCTTATTTTTTTCTTTCCCTCATGTATATGTTTTATACGGCCCAGTGGCGCCGTAGTTTTAAAATAAATAATGATCGATTGATTGTTATTGTATTAGGCAGAATTGGTGATATTTCATCCGTATTTCAGCGGTTTAATAAACATTGAGTCGGGTTTTTCTTTGAAATAAATTTTACATGTAGCAAGATTAAAAGGTAAAAACTTTAATATAATATGTTAGACGGTGTTACCGTTAGAGAGGGCGGAGCCGTGAAGAGAAAATTGCTACATTTTATTGTTTATTGATAAATCAGTTGATCAGTTTAATTCTGAAATTGTCAATGCATAGACCTAAAGCAAAGGGTTTGCGTCATGCAGGTCTATGGTCAGTATCAGAAAATCAAGAACTCAGTTCTCTTCAAAAAGAAAAAAATCTTTCCCATCTCTTACATGTACCTCATTACTTTTCATTCAAATAATGCAAAATATTTCATCATGAGATGAATGGTTATCTAGCCAGAGCACTTAAAGTCTAAGAACGTCTTCGGAAAAAAGAGGGGCATGTATTGGGCCATTGGACCAGTAATGGGTTCAACATACCGGGCCAAAGAAATGTGAGGCACCTCGGTCCAACGACACCTCAAACTTTAATAGTTATAAACGTAACAGTAAACTTGTTCCAAAATACTAGTATATCCAACAATAATCAATTCATAAACTTTTTCTGAGCACCAATTCTTTTTCTTTCACTACTTGATTTATATGCTTATTTAACAACTGTACACTTATCTAGAAACCTCAAGTCATTTCTCAACTGTTATTACTCCCATTACATGGTTATGATGTCATCTAAAGTAAGAACAATTTTATTTTTTTTTTTATTTTACATTATTGGTGCAATTAATTATAATTATTGTTTTCTTTATTTTAATGAAAAATGTATATTTCACCTTTCAAATATTAAAAAAAACAAACAAATCTGATTTAAATACTGAGAAGTCTTTAGAATTTTCTAAATCTAACATTTTTAAAATTAAACGCATTTATTAGGATTGAAAACTATATTTATATGCTTGATGTGTATTAAATTTGAGTATTGTAATGTACATATAGGTATGTATACATTAACAACATGCACTGCACTTTAAAGTCATATAACTTTGTGGATATTTACATGCATTTACTGAAAGATGTATGTAGACTGAACAACTTCCTCTGCAGATTGTACATTATACATTGTTTAACTTATTTTTTCCTGCTTTAATTTAGACTTTATATGTAATTCCAATTGTCAAAAAAAATCTTTTTGAATTTTTCAAATGCATACATCGTATTAGATTTTTCTTTTGATAGTGATCTTTATAAGAAACTGAAATTTTGTTATTTGAAAAACTTTATAAAATAAAATATTAAATTTTAAAAAAAATCACAACAAAAATGAGATTCAGACTTCCATAGATCCGCTAAATATTTATGTATCCATGTACAAGTAGATATTCATAAATAATGTTGATACCTTAAAAAAAAAAGGAAAAGAAAAAAAAGAAATCCACACACTCTTATTGAGTCCCCTATGAGACTTTTCACAGGGTATTTTATTTCATCACTTTTAAAACATTTTTAACTGTTCAAAAAATTATACTGTCAAAAAAAATCGTATATTTCTAGCTTGGTATGTATTGACAAGTATAATCCTGAAGACATTTATTACTGGCAAATTTTATTTAACAAATAAATAAGGATATTCTTATGAAAGGGGCCACAGATAGATCCGCTCCTCCATAGTGTAGACGACAGCGCCGCCTATAGGGAAATTCTGACCAATCAAATGCCGTTTTACTTGGTAGCGCGAACTATAAATAAATCTAAAGCAGAAGGATAAAAC